CCTCACGCTGGAGCTGCCTGAAAGCCAAATGGAGCCAGTCCTTTGCCAGTGGGGTCAGGGTTGTTAACAAACTTTAACAGTGACTCCTGCTTTTTCTTTCCCTAAAGTCATCATTTTGCCAATGCCACAGGCTGGACTTGATGAACTCAAGGATTCTTTTCTGACATAGTTAATTCTGGCATTCTGTGATAACACCTCCACAAGGGGTTTTTTTTCAGGCATCTGTTTGGGGGATATTCAGGGGAAAGGCTCCAAATCCACAGCAGGAGGTTTCAAGGTTGATTCCCAACTTCAGGCACTTGGAAAGTTGATGTCAGGGATGAAGCTGTTCCCATTCACACGCAGACAAATCTTTCTCACCCCAGAAACAGAAAGAAATGCTTTCAGTTTGCATGTTTTCAGCTTCCATGGCATGGAGGTGAATGTAATGGGGGAAGAGAGGAAAATTGAATTAATTCCTACCAGGAACAGCTAAACCTGTCAGGCTCTGGGCTGGGGAGGATGCTCCAGCTGACAAGTGAGGCTGCAGAACTACAGAGATTTATTGTGCTCCGAAATAATTCCTGTGCTTGCTGAGCAGAACTGCTGCCCTGGATAGCTGCTCTCAGAAATATTTTCCATCGTGAGCTCCAAGTGCCTTTTCTTGCCCAGATTCCATCAGAACAAAAAGCCCCGGGATTTATGTGCCTGTCACTTACCTTGGGGGGTGACCTGATGGCCTGAGGTACAGGTTTTGTGAAGACAAGAGTGCAGGAAATGGAGGAAATTGGGGAAATTGGGAAATGGAGTTCTGGCCCATCCTCAGGAGAGCAGAGGTGCCCAGGTGTGGTGGGTGTTGCCTCAGCCCTGGTCTGGTGTAAGACCACAGCAAGGCTCTTTCTCATTTCTCTCTTTTCAGGGTTAACAGTGCCCAACCTCAACCCCAGTTTTTTTTCAGGAAAAAAATCCCCCAGGTTTTTTTCAGACAATTAAAAGCATTTTCAGCAATGTTACATCGCTTCCTTGACTTGATAACAGCCTAAAACAAGCAGATTTTGAGTGATGATGGGGAGATTCAAAATCCTCATTCTCTTTTCATGTGCAGGTGACCAAAATGAATGAGAGATTATCTCAGCTTCAGGAAAAAAAATATTTCTTTTTTGTCAGGCAGCTTCTGACAATATCAGCAGCTGGAGCTGATGCACCTAAAAGCCATCACTGGCTTGTTGATGGGGATACTTAAAAGTGAAATTACCCTTATCTGACTTCAGGGTGTCTCAAAGCTAAATGAGTAATCCTGGGCTCATGTCCTGGCCTCCTTTTATATCCACTGAAGAAAACCAGACATCACCAAAATTTCCCTGTGTGCACGAGTCTGAGGATGAGACAAAAAATCTGGGCACAGATAACAGGCCCAGACGGTGCCAGTGGCCTATTTATAGGATTTCAGGGATAAATCAGGGAAATTATATTGTTGTGGCAGTAGAAAACTCCAAAGAATGTGTTTGTCCCACTGGCCATCACCTCCTCCTGCTGACACTGGTCACCTGGAGGGGGGGACAGCGACAGAGGGTGGCATGGAAAGGAGCCAAGGCACAAATGGCAGAGGCTGCTGTGATGAACAGGGCTCAGAAAATCATGAATGGAAAAGGAAAATGTAGCTGCACTAGAGATTGTGGGATAAATGAGTGCCAGGAGAGCTGAAAATGCAGGTGGGAGAGGGAAGATCCCTGCCTGGACTGGGGCATAGGACCAGGACCTCGATGGGGCAGAGGCAGAGGAAGATGTGGGGCAATCAGGGAGGGGGAGGAGAAGCTAAAATAGTTTTGTTTAGGCTAGGAAAAGCAGGAAAAGGCTAGGAAAAGCAGGAAAGGGCTAGGAAAGGGAATGCTTGCTATAAATAGCCCAGGTAAAGCCCCAGGGAAGGGAGAGAGTTATTTAAGCTAAAGGACAATGTTGGCCCCAAATCAAACTGGTTGTGAGTAAATAGAGGGGGGAAACAAGCAGGAGGTTTCTGAGCATCACAGGAAAGATGTTCTGAAACAACTTTCCAGTCAGGAACCTGAGCACTTCTAAATCTGTCAGGGCAGGAAATGGATCTCTGTGCCAGGATAACTTCAGATCTCCATTCACATTACTCAGGCTCGAGTTAATCTTGATTTTGCCAATGACAAATTTTTGCCCTGACTGGGAAAATGGGAGTGGACAAAATGTGAGAGGCTGTGGTTGAGAGCTTGTTTGAGGGCAGCTCCACTCCTATGGATGGGAATTGGGCATCCCTGGGACATCCACAAGTGACATCCTACACCTTTCTACGCCTTCTCATTACTGCCTAATTCTGTTAATTGGTTGGGGTTCTTTTGTTACCTAACCTTATCTCCCTCCCTGCAGCTTAAATAGATCATTAGGTTAATATTGGTTAATGGACTTTTGCAAAAATTGGGATTTTTCTTTTTTTGGCCTGGCTAAAAATGCCATGAAATCTCCTTGGGAGAAAGTTCAGTCAGCAAAGAAACAAAACAAAAGCATCACTGGGTTGCATGAGAAAGTTCAGCAAATGGGGAAACTGAGGAAACTGGGTTCAGTTTTCCCGTCCTTTAATTATCCCTTTCACATAGCCATAAACAGAAGAATTTGATAATGACACAGGAAAAAGCTACATTCCCACAAAACCTTTGGTGCACAGTAGCAGTGGGTGAGGATAAACCAGGGTGGTCTCTCATTTTGGGATTAGCCTCACATGGGATTTTGGCTTGGCTCTGAACCCAGTGAAATGTCCTATTCTAGCCACTTTACAGAGAGTTGCATTCTCAATGTTACAGAGTTTTGCCAAACTGCTTTCTTTTTAAATCCTTATACCTGAGGGAAATGGTGCAAGACTGACACTCAACCCTTAAGTAGTTAATACTCCAGGAAAAGAATTTTTCTTGCCGTATAGAAGAGATTCCACCCTATGGCCAAGAAACCAATAAGTGATTTTATTAAAAATACTTCCCTTTAAATAGGAATTCGGGACGAGAGAAAAATGTATCATTTCCTTTTTATTCTCTGTTTCTTGTGCAAAAGATCAGATTCATACTACCTGAAATTTCTAATTTAATCAGAGTAACCTTGAGTCATTCACGACTGAATGGACCTAAGTACAGCAAAGCAAGAAAAGAGCTTTTTCCCAGCTGAAATGAGTGAAGTTTCCATCTCAGCCCCTCAAATCAAGGGCAGGCAGGGCTGGCAGCACTGAGAGGAGGAAGCAGCCAGGTTTTGTCCAGTGAAGCAGTTTGTGACCCCAGTGATGAAGAGCAATAACCCCGTGCTCCTAATTAGGAGTGATGCCTGAAGTTTAATTTCCAC